ACCCACGAGCACGGGTATGGTGCTGACAAACCTAGAAACATAATCGGGGCGAACCGGGGTTCGAACTCACAATCATGGGTTTCTGGCGTGCCAAAGGGACGCAACTCTGCACAGCGAATCGCGGCGCCTTAGACGACTGGGCCACCCGGGCCCCCTAATGCTTCAAAGAGTGAGTGAGTGAGTGAGTATGGTTTTACGCCGCTTTTAGCAATATTCCAGCAATATCACGGCGGGGGGCACCAGAAATGGGCTTCACACAATGTACCCACGTCGGGAATCGAACCCGGGTCTTCGGCGTCACAAGCGAACGCTTAAACCACTAGGCTACCCGACCGCCCCAATGCTTCAAAGAAAAGGGAAAGTTATTAAAGGTAATAATAACCACCATGAATTGAAATACAATAGATAAGATCTTCCCGTTTAATTATGATTGTAATCGTTGATATTAACTTATTAGCTGAAGAAATATGCTGATTTTGCATATCAGACAGCGAGGGTCTTTTTTCAACCGCATCAGTATCAGAAGCGGGTTGAGATGTACGGGGATGAGTGAGCGAGTTTGGTTTTACGCCGCTTTTAGCAATATCCGAGCAATATCACGGCGATTTTTTCGGCTTCACACATTGTACCCATGTTGGGCATCGAACCCGGGTCTCCGGCGTGACGAGCCAACGCTTTGTCCACTAGCCTACCCAACCGCCCGTGTACGGGGATTCATGTGTACATACTAATTATAAGTGATAACACTGCGACAACACGAAAGTATTGTTGTATCAAACGCAGTCAGGAAAGCGAACGTTATTATTATTTAAAAAGCAAGACAAGTGTATTGGTTGACGGAGTTATCGATAGAGTCTTTCGGAGCAGGTAATATTTTTGGTCATTCGTTCAAAACCAGTATGTTTACCAGTTTGTAGAGCCAGATATATTTTGTCAATACATATTTTCATATACACATTTTAATCTGACAAATAATTATTTTATTTAATAATTATTTTAACAAGATAAAAAATTTCCTTTTCAAAATACCATAAAGTGAAGTCGACAACTATGGAATCCTGATAAGGACATTGTCGCGTTGTTGCCTTTTGGTAAAGAAAACAACATTATTCAAAACACGAAGATCGGTGAAAATGTAGCGTTGTCGTATTGTCGCGATGTCCAGCTTTGGTCATTTGTCATAGTTGATTGGCGTTGTAAGGGCGACAACGTCCCTTCTGGTATTCCATAAACAAACAGGTTGGTAACTACTCGCACCTGTGCTGTTCTTGATGTAGTGCACAATAACCTGATCTTCGATCTAGCGTTGCATCGGATAGGAATAGCTCCACATTCAAAGCTTCATCAATAACATATCTACACAAATGCAATGGGACATGGATTTGACAGTGCATTAAGTGGTCAGCTTTAGTTATCTGTACAGATCAAAGCCCGGTCTTAATAACATGTGTACGTGACTCGTGGGAAACCATGTCCACATGTTGCACGAATAATTGCCTTTTGTTAACTGCATCAAACTATTAAAAACAACGCTGGTGTTGTTGATAAGAGTTTTAACATACAAAGTAAGATAAATATTCCCGATGTAGTGCTAAGATATTCCCGATGTAGTGCTAAGATATTGATTAGTGAAAAAGTGACCGAAAGGTATTCCTTCATGGTTGAAGAGCGGAAATGTTTGGTGAACACGTGAGGTATCTACGATCGATTGTTTTTATCGTCGCACTCGGCAATATTCTACGCATGTCACCCCGGCCTGTAAATAATCGAATCTGGACCAGACAATCAAGCGATTGATCTTGCCTGCAACGTCCCATGCTTTTCAGACACGATCAACAACAGTATAATAATAATATTGCTTGCTGCTCAGGACCCGTCACTTCCCACTCGAAATCGTCTATGTGTCATTTTGCATCAAAATGTAAATATGAAATGTAGAATATGCAAGAATTTAATGAGACTTTCAAACACTTTGTCAGTGGATGCCCAGCTTTGGCACAAACACAGTATCTTAAGCGACATGATGGAGTGGGTCGGTCAATTTATTACCGTGTTCGCCATGCTTTTTGACATAGTTTTGACACAGAGGTCTATCCATGGTACGACCCAGAATATGTAGAGGGAAAATGACAAATACACAATTCTTTGGAATAGGCTCGTATACAGCCTCAGACGTATCCAGACCAACAAACTTGATCTTGTCCTTTTTGATAAATCCAATGAAATCATTTATATCTTGTGAATGACAAGATTCAGGAAAAACATGGCAAATATGCGGACCTCGCTTTCGAAATGTCACGCTTGCATCCAAAGTACCAAGTTGTCCGACTCCCCATTGTTCTTGGTGCCTTAGGTTTGGTACCTCCCAATCTGTTGACTGACATTGGGAGAGTACCCGGGTTTGCTACCAGGAGTACAGCCCTTCTGACAATCTGGGTAATGCAGAAGACTGCAGTGTTGGGGAGTCTTCACATTCTCCGAAAAGTTCTGGGTGGGTTTGACTACGCAGTGTTTCTAGCACAAGTCTCATTCGCTGTCTTGGCAGCGTGTAGAGAGGACAAGTGCCTTGAACAAATACCTAGGTTATTATTGACTTCCTCTTTCACGAAACAACTTTAACTCAATTTAACCTTAAGTTAGGATTACATCCTAAGGTTGGTCCGACCCACCCTTAACTCACTAAGGAAGATATTATGTATAACTGAATAACGGACATGAAGTAGTAACATATAGTTACGTGACGTCATAACATATATATATATATATATATATATATATATATATATATATATATATATATATATATATGTACAGGTAAGGACAACAAAATAATAAGATAACAAAAGGTGGAAAATAGCAAAGGGTAGAAACTAACAAGGGAAGCCAACAGATGATTGGCGCTGACGGGTGATTAGCAATAAACAATGGAAGCCAAAGCTTTACAGTAATTGGCGCTAAAGGTCTGGTAGCCAGTACTTAAGTTATCATAGATAAGTAATAGGTAATGGACACTGGGCGAACGGGAGGGGGTAATTAGCACTAATAGGTGTAAGAATGGACATAGCAAAGGGCAAATTGAAGCCAGCTAGGTGATTAGCACCGACAAAGATCAAAGCAATAAGTCCCAAGTGCAGGCAGATAGGTTCCCTGGTCACTGTTCATGGCAGTGTGTCCCTCAAAATAAAGAACTTGACATCCATTTATTCTCTTCCTTATGCGTATCACTTCTAAATGCCTTTCAGAGACCTATGTAATTATTCATTGTATTTTCTTTAATAAAGGGGTTTATTTTATATGTTATATGTTTATATTTTATAATTTTATCTTCGTGAAACGCGTATCTCAGATCATAAATTTCTACAATAGTTCATGAGAGTCTTTCTTCATACACCATTCAGTTTATTTAATCCTCCATGAAAGTTACTACAAAAAAGCGATCACATGGTAAATATAAGTTAAACATCATAGTACAAATTATTTGTTTATTGTTTAGTCATTTCGCATTATCAGGAGATATATACCTTTTAACACATGAGCGAAACCTAAGTGATGTAAACACGTAAGATATATAATGGTTTGAAAACACACTGTGAAGCGACAAACCATGTCTTGAAGGTGGAGACATTTTCCTTCGATAATTAAAAAACGAAGGCTCTAGCTTCATATTTGTGAACGCCAGTGAATATACTGCTATTATCTTGTTATAATTAATAGTTGAAGCATAAAAAAGAGGATTGGGTCGAAATCTGTAGTAAATTGTAAATGTAATTTTAGTGACGTTCAAAGTAGACCATGAAAACCACCACTGCAGGACGTGTTTCAGAGTTATCGCCCCTGATATCCCGTATAAAAGGAAAACCGTCACCAGCAAGAAACGGATGATGATTATTCAGACATTCGAGGCATGTTTATGCTCGTCTTGGGGTTCTTTCTGAGACTTGAGTCATATGTAGTTGAAGGAGAACACCTATAACTTGTTCACGTCCTGTTTATCAAGAATTTGTAGCGCTATATGTTTTTACCTAGGATTTAATACACAGTTCTTAATATGTACACGTGGATTTCAAACAACACGAAGCATACAATTAGGAAAGGTACGTGGTGGAAGTTAGCGATAGTTTCGTAACATGTTTAGAAATTACAATTTCAGGTTTTAACGGCATATCCAATAGGGTTTCAGCAGGCGGTCACAATCTTAGCGCTAAGCTGGTCATACCGAATTAAGATGAGCTAAGGTTGCTTTGTGAAGCCGGTATAACTTAAGACTAAGGATAGAATAGGTCTTCAGCAACCCATAATTGCCGTAAAAGGTGACTATGCTTGTCGTAAAAGGCGACTAACGGGATCGGGTGGTCAGGCTCGCTGACTTGGTTGATGCATGTCATCGATCCCAATTGCGTGGATCGATGTTCATGATATCAATCACTGGATTGTCTGGTCCAGGCTCGATTATTTACAGACCGCCGTCATATAGCTAGAATATTGCTGAGTGCGGCGTTAAACAACAAACCAACCAATTAAGACTAAGTTAACCTTAAGTATAACCTTAGTGGTTAAGGTTAACCTTTGCTAAGGTGGTTTTACGGACCTGGGCCCAGGAGTCGCGGCACGTGCAGCTCAAGCGGAACTCATGAATCACGTACATTGTTGTGAGGACGTTATCGGAATAAAATAGCACTACACGTGACCCAATTGTCAAACAACTATTATTCCAGAACATTTAGCTGTACTCTAATCTCCTTTAAAAATCATGTCGCCTTCCAAAACATGACCAACGGTGGAAACTGGACGTTTAAGACAGTTTATTTCCCTGCCTCGGGAAGATGGGTCTAACCCCGCTTTGAACAATATTTCAGTTATTCCACGGCGTGGTGTGGAAGTGCGAATTGATGCAGGTCTTAACGGTTGAGCACTTGGTATTACAAATAAAATTGAAACAATTAATTTGAATTTAATTAGGGTCCGGCCTTTTAATATACTTATTGCCATTTGTTTTGCAGGATACACGACTCCTGCGGGTGATCTGCTCTGCGGCCGCGATTATTGCGTGGAACAAGATGGCGTTTACTGTGACGCCAAGTCAAAGACCTGCAAGTGCCCGCCCGATATGATTGGGAACGGACGCGTACAGTGTGTTGATCCCAGTGAGTTGTCTCCCTTGATCCTATGATATCGGATAGGGGCAGTTCAAAGGTCCGATGTCGCATAAGTGAGTGAGTATGGTTTTACGCCGCTTTAAGCAATATTCCAGCAATATCACGGCGGGGGACACCAGCATTGGGCTTCACACATTGTACCCATGTCGGGTATCGAACCCGGGTCTTCGGGGCGACTAATAATGATGAACTGTTTTTGTAATGGAAATAGAGTGAGTGAGTCGGTGAGTATGTTTTTACGCCGCTTTTAGCAACATTCCTGCAATATCACGGCGGGGGACACCAGAAATGGACTTCACATATAATAAAAATAGAGAATAGAAATAGTGAATGAATACAAATAGTAAATAGTGTGTAATATTAAATGGTGAATATAAGTAAGTGAATATGGTACGCCGCTTTTAGCAATATTCCAGCAATGTCACGGCGGGGGACACTAGAAATGGTTTCACACATTATACCCACGTGGTGAATCGAACCCAGGTATTCGTCGTGACGAGCGAACGCTTTAGCCACAAGGCTACCCCACCGCATCTAGTGAATATTAACAAGAAAAAGGTAATTGTAAATATTAATTGTAAAATAGTAAAAAGTAATAGTAAAAAAACATATTTTTTCTCTTTCCTGCAGAGAAGACATGCTTGTGTACCATTCATGGGGACCCGCACATCATCAATTTCGGCTATGACTCTTTCACATTTCCGCTTCCGTGTCATCACGTGCTTGCTGACTTTGTGACGCCGCCCTCCCGACGGACGCCGGGGGGATGTAAAGTGGTCATCTCGGGCAGGGCAACGTACCCTGACAATGGGAAGAATACCATCTATTCTTTTGAACGTCAGGTCGAGATTGTGGTAACAACCACTGCCAACGTATTTGCTGCTATTCTCAACGAAAAAGGCTTCGCAGTAAGTTATCTTGGCCATGCCGAACAGTGACTTGTGCCCACTCGTAGGCATTTCGTTAAACTGGTTTCGTCTTTGCGCAAAAGGCATTGCGAAACTAATAGTCAGCTTATTGTGCCATATCAGTGAGTGAGTGAGTATGTTTTTACGCCGCTTTTAGCAATATTCCAGCAATATCACGGCGGGGGACACCAGAAATGGGCTTCACACATTGTACCCATGTCGGGAATCGAACCCGGGTCTTCGGCGTGACGAGCGAACGCTTTAACCACTAGGCTACCCGACCGCCCCTTGTGCCATATCAGACTGGCATTAGACGTGATATGGATACATTCGATTATACTTTGCATTACATGTAGCTGCACAATTTCTGATGGCGAGATAAAACATCATTTACTCACTCGTGTGTGTGAGTGAATAAGGTTTAACGGCACATTAACCATATCCCAGCCATGTTCAGGCAGCGGACACCAAGAATCGGCTCCATATATTGTGAGTGAGTGAGTGAGTGAGTGAGTGAGTGAGTGAGTTTGGTTTTACGCCGCTTTTAGCAATAGTCCAGCAATATCACGGCGGGGGACACAAGAAATGGGCTTCATACATTGTACCCATGGAATCGAACCCGGGCCATCGGCGTGACGAGCCAACACTTTAACCACTAGGCTACCTCAAAGCCACTGTTGGGAACCGAACCCGGGTCCTCTGCTTGTTCAGCGAACCCGTTAGCCAATAGGCAACCACCTGCCCCTCTATGTATTCCGATTTCGGGAAAACGGGTGGACCTAGATTGGTCTCAGGATTGTATCATATGTTGCCGGCAGCCATTTTTTTTGGTACCATTTTTTTATAAATTTATTTTCAAATTTATAGAAAAAATTATTTGAAAAAATTGAACTGTCATTTGTTATGCCCCCAACTCCGACATACCCTTTATGGTTGTGATGATTATTTTCGACCTCCCCATTTTCGTGTGTCATTTTTTCATGACCCCCGCCCCTTCCTTATCTCACCGCCCCTCCCCTATAATATATGACCCATCCCTAACCTGCTGTCATATGATCAAAGCGGCGTTAATCCGGACCCATTTAGTAATTGTCCAACCGGGTAAACATTATTCACTTGGGTAGAATATTGTGAAGATTCTTGACATGAGTTTACACATCTACAAACAAGGACTGCATTACTCTTTACACAGACCCGTGAAGATCCGGGCCAGAATAGGTCTTCAGCAACCCATGCTTGCCGTAAAATGTGACCATGCTTGTCGTAAGAGGCGACTAACGGGATCGGGTGGTCAGGCTGGCTGACTTGTTTGATGCATGTCATCGTATCCCAATGTGCCTAGATCGATGCTAATGACGGTGACTGATCAAATTATTCCAATAGCAATCAGTTGTTCAATGTTAATCACTGGATTATCTGGTCCAAACGCGATTATTTACAGACCGCCGTCATATAGCTGGAACATTGCTGAGTGCGGCGTTAAGTAACAAACAAACAAACAAACAAACAAATCATACATGGCGATTTTTACGGAAGTAAATTGACGCCAAAGGTCTTATGACGTCACAGCGCAATTGTACCCAAGCACCCATAAGGTTCCTTTTCTCCTGGCGTCAGTTCATGACTAAACAGACATGTATTAATATACCACATAGCGATTGTGTATTCACGGGTGATGGAGAAAACAGACACGCGAAGTATTGACGACCATTCGACATATGTTGTTTTCTAAAAAACCGGAAGAGCATAGACATTGTGACCGACACGGTGTGACGTCGCTATTTAAGTGCAATAACCTTGGATGCGTAGATCGCGTAAATCAGCACTTCCTGTGGGAATTCCAAGTAAGAGGGACCAAATAAATGTGGGGGTCAACTTCGGTACGGTGCGTGGCATCGTACCCCGACGGCGTGCATCGTTGCTCACAATATCAGTCACTGGATTGTCTGGTCAAGACTCGATTATCTACAGACCGCCGACATATAGCTGGAATATTGCTGAGTGCGGCCTTCAACAACAAATACTCTTCAAACCAAAGTCATTAATTATTTTGATTTCAGTGGAAAAAACTCCGTCGTGTGGGACCCAGGAGGCGCAGGTCAAGAATAGGTAGGCTCGTAGTCCAGACTGGACATGACTTCAGCGACTTCTTCTACCTCCACGTCATGCCATGCGACATCACCGTCAAATTTCGAGACTATGACGGATTTTTCGCAGTGTCCAAACCTATTGGTTCCGTGGGCATGTCTGGCGTTTGCGGGTCGTGCAACTCCGCCATCACGCCATCGGACAAGGCCAACAAACTCCCGGACAAGACAGTGATGGAACGCTATCTTAAATCTCTCTCGAACGTCAGCCCTATCGATGGATCCCCAGCGAATCAGTACCCGTATGTATGAGTTTGTGATCGTGTACTTCAAAAGAACCCGTGAAGATCCGGGTTAGAATAGGTCTCCTATGAAATACTGGTTATTTTAACGCCTTTTTTACACATTTTCATGGGGCGACAACGCGACATATTTTGACACTAACAAAAGTCGCATTGTCGCATTGTCGTGCTTTGGTAAAATAAAGCGCGACAATGCGCAAATGGCCAAAATGTCGCGTTGTCGCATTGTCGCCCTTTGGTTAATTTTTACACTTTTTGCTTGTTTTTGGAAGGGCGACAATGCGACAACGCGACGATGTCCCTTCTAGTATTCCATACAATCCAGTTATTGAAATCAAGAGCATCTATCTGCGTAAATGACATGCCTCAATCAAGACAGCGAGCCAGACCACCCGATCCCGTTAGTCGCCTCTTGCGACTTTTTCTAACCCACGTCTTCATGGGTATCGCTGGCACGTGGTTTGTTTCGTAAACTGCCGGGCAAAAGAAAGTATACACCTATGTTTGATTTTGGCTAAAATAAAAAAAAAGATGAAATGGTTATTCGATGGCGATGTATTTGATACGGGTACCATAGTTGTGTTTTGGACGTTACGTTTGCTGTGTTTCGGCGATTGTTTTCAGCCTAGCAACGTTTCGATAACGTTTGTAATGTTTTGGTCAAATCCAGTTTTCAAGTAAATTATTTCTTTTGTCCAGCCGTTTAGTCCAGAGAGTGTCTCGCATGATGTGGAGTCCCCCATTCAGCAATATTCCATAAAAATACACATGCGCTTCACACATAAACTGAGGGGGAAAAGAAACTATACCCCTCAGTTGATTCATCATATGTTTGATTTTCAAATGAAAAATTCTCAAGTGATCTTATTATTTTCAAAAGATAAACTGTACTGGCGCTTAATCAGCACTTATAAATTTCCTCTAGGTAATTTTATGTTTTTACATATAATTTGAGTTAAATTTTTAAATATTTTTTTTTTAATATTTCGCACAATACACAACTGTTGGTAGGTGTATCATCATGACGTTGCAAATTCATGTCTTATACTCATTCTTTATTGAACCAATATATTTTTACACAAAATAACCCAGACACAGGTTACTTTTTATGAACTGTTGCAGAAATGACTGTTGGTTAAAAAAGACATAATCAAATTTAAAAACTTCTTTTAATTTTAAATATTATCCATGTTAAACGTCTGCACGGTTTCTCAATGGGCTAGTTGTATAAAATCCGAACTTGTTGAGCGCGACGTTAACCCCATTTCGGCCCACCTCCACTCTGTCCTCAACAGGGACCACGGATGGCCCAATATTCGTCTGTCTGCCAGCCCCATACCAAAAGCTGCATACCAGCTGAAACTCCGTGGAATAATTGAAATACTGTTCACCATAGAACTGAAACCACCTACTCTCTATTTTCACAGGGGCACTTCCGGCCTGGTGGGTTTCCCTAAAGTTATAAACCACTAAAACCTGCATCACTTCGGATTTCCCTACTATTAGGTGTCGATTCCCAAATTGACACAATATGTTAACCCAGAAATTTGTACGTAAAAGAACTTGTGTGAAACCAACAAACAACCAACAAATGGTATACAATCAACAAATGTATAACAAATATTCACTACGTTTACAAATCGATACAAATTACTGCACCGCAATTAAAATGGCAGTACACAATAGAATGGTTGTACAGTTTTCAATGACAGTATATAATATGATGACAGTGGTCAGTATTAACTACAAAAACACTGGTGATAGTAAAAGTCAGTGATATAAATATATTCACCCAGCGGCAACGGTTGTCAAGATACCGAGAAAGGCCTGGGCAGGGAATCCGGTTTGAAGAGTGATCTTCACACGAAAGCTGGTCTTGATGTAATGAAATGTGTGAACGATACTAGAGGCACGCTCTCGACGCCATATGTACAGTCCAACTAGCAATAAAACTAGATACTGTGAATTTCCAAACTTGCCATCACAACATAGAATTTCCTACATGTTTTTATAACACTCTTTCACAGTCCACGGTGTTCCGTAAGTTAACCTATCACGCTAGCACCTAAATATAATAACTTCCTCAAAACGGCTTACATTAAATAGTACTACATTCCCGAAAACTAATCACTGTCTAAACACAATGCAATGAGCGTCTACCGAATCTCAAATGAAACAATGTATCACAGTTACACTCATTGTTCAGCCATAATATACACTGCCATATAACACTACCCGTCCACAGTTGGTGGATATGAACGTCACACTGTCAGGTTCAAATCGGCGTTAAATCCACCTCACTCTCATATTCTGTCTTCCACAGATCCTGCACAGATTTGACCGACCTCCAGAAGTCGTGTCCCGCTGACAAGAAGGCGGGAGCTGTTGAGCTGTGCAGTATGCTGTTGCAGGATTTAAAGACCAATGAATGTCTTGTGAAAGTAGCTGGCACCAAGGGCGTGGAAGATCGCTTCGTGGCGTGCTTCAAGAGTGTCTGTGGTGGCGCCGCACCTTGTGGCCTCATCGCTCAAGCCTTCCAAGGCTGCGCAGACACGCCCGTGGTCAAGGCATATCAGGCCAAGTGCAAGTGACCATCGTCATAATAATAGTAATAATAATGACATCATTGTTAACTGCTTTAAACACTGTAGAGCGGAAATAGGATCTTTTCTATTAACTGCTTAGTATTATGTCTGTGCTACTGTAACTTCCGTCTGTCCATGCTCATTTCTGTTCAATTGAAAGAATAACATTATGAAAGGAAAAATGTAATATCTGCCATGTTGCATAAATTGTAATAATTCGTTGTTATGTTTGAAATATTAATAAACAATGACAGACATAAGTAATGGTTTTGTTTTGTTTTCCAATGTTGTGTTTGGTTGTGAGTGAGTGAGTGAGTGAGTGAGCTGGGTTTAACGCCGCTTTTAACAGTATTCCAGTTATATCGCGGCGTGTCAGCTTAATGTGGGAGGAAAGCCCGAAGTGATGCAGGTCTCGGACGTTTACCACTTCGGTGAAACCCACGAGCTGTCCCAACAATACCACGGAGGTGGTTTCACACGAATAACCAATCCAAGCTTTGGGCGGGAAAAGCGAACCACAAGGCAACCCCACCGCTCTGACATGTCAAGTAACGAGCTAGAGTTTTAAATGAACTACCGACAAGAAATAAGGGAACTAATGATTTGAATGTATCGTCGTTGAGATGTACACGTACAATACCGTGGCGTGGCATCTGAACGCAACATCTAATCACAATGAAATTTCACATCATGCATGAACACCACGTGATATGTGTTGCAACAGAAGCCAAAGGATGTGCAGTCTGGTTCCCTGTGTATGCTGCGCTGACGCTGCAGTGTGCACAGTGTACAATGTTGCCCGCTACAGTGTAGCGCCAGCGCAGCATACCAAGGGAACCAGGCTGAAGTGTGTGCGCCTCCAGGGGAACAGTATCTCAATGAACAGACAAAATGGCAAAATGTGGGTACGATGGAGGGTGGGACCACAGGCCCCTGAAGCAGGATAGTGATATCACTAGAGTGCTGTGATTGGTCCGCGCTCCAACCATAACAAACGCACGTGGGGATATTTACCAATCAGAGCGCTCGGGGCCATTGAGTGCGGAGAATTTTCTTTACTTCCGTGACTTTCGATCAAATCACCCAATGTAGGTAATAAATTGCAAAAGATGAAGGTTTGTGGCATGTGGGTCGTATGTGGAGGGAGTTGGGGAGGTATTGTGAACATGACATGCATACATTTCCATTTAATTTAAACGATAAAGCCGATTTCAACTTCAACCAAGATGGCGAGTTACGTACCTTATCTATTTATATATACACTATATATGGGTCCAGTGTTTCAGTAATATCACTATCCTGCTTCAGGGGCCTGCGGGTGGGACTCCAATGTAGCCCGAATAGTGGGTAGATAAAAAAGTGTAATTTCTCGACTGTAGGTCAAGGACCGTCAAACGGGTGGGGTGGCAACGAGGCCTGGGCGTGAAAGGCCTGAAAAAATCGAAACCTAGACAAGGTCGTCTCATTACGTTAATAGCACTGCGCAGTAGATTCAATTCTGCTCCTGTCATCAATAAAGAGTTCCGAATTTCAACATCTATTGTTTAAACCCGACATTATGCTGCCCGCTTGAAAGCAATGTGTCGCGTGAACCGTGTGGCCCTTACAGCTCCCGAGTGCGCAACACCGGAAGCGCACGTTAAATCTACAACAACATCATCATCATCATCATCATCATCACCTTACAGCTTACCACAGGCGGATTGGAGTGGGGCGGGCAACACCGGGGACGGGCTGTGCGCCAAGTGTACGCCAGAGGCCAAGCACCTGCCAACGTGGCCCACTTTTCGGAAGCTCTTCGGGCGGAATGGCGGGCAATACCAAGGTCAACCATACGCATGTTTATAAACAGTATGGCACCAATGTCGTGCAGGTATCGCCCAACATAGTGGACACACCAGATATTGATCTACACGCCTGAAATTAATTTTATAGATAGTTATCGTCATTTCACCTTCTAAATCAGTCTATCAGTAACCCTTATAGTTTGTCGGTAGTATATACAGTAAAAGGGTTTTTTCTAGTTTGAAGAAAGATCTTGTTTCTCGATGGTACGTGCAGGTGCGTTGAGTTGATGCTAACAACTCACTTTGTCATATGAGTGACTGTGTATTGTTTGACGACGATCTCGGCATCCTGATGTCTTGGGACAGTTGGAAAGCAAAGAAGTTAAAGTGTTCGCTCCAAGCCGTGACTACAAGCCGTGACTATAGAAGCCCTGACTACAAGCCGTGACTAGAAGCCGTGACTAGAAGTCTTAACTGAAGTCTGACTAGTAACCCAAGTTAGAGGCCTTGACTTTAAGCCCTGACTGGAAGCCCTGACTGGAAGTCTAAACTGAAGTCTGACTAGTAACCCAAGTTAGAGGCCTTGACTTCAAGCCCTGACTGGAACCCCTGACTGGAAGTCTTAGTCTGACTAGTAACCCAAGTTAGAGGCCTTGACTTCAAGCCGTGACTGGAAGCCCTGACTGGAAGTCTTAGTCTGACTAGTAACCCAAGTTAGAGGCCTTGACTTCAAGCCCTGACCAGAAGTCTTAGTCTGACTAGTAACCCAAGTTAGAGGCCTTGACTTCAAGCCCTGACTGGAAGCCCTGACTAGAAGTCTTAGTCTGACTAGTAACCCAAGTTAGAGGCCTTGACCTCAAGCCTTACTACAAGCCCTGACTAGACGCCTGATAAGAAGCCCTCACTACAAGCCCTGAATAGAATCCTGATAAGAAGCCCTGACTAAAAGTCTTACAAGAAATCTGACAAGAAACCCTGACTAGAAGCCCTGACTAGAAGCCCTGACAAGACGCCCTGACTAGAAGCCCTGACAAGAAACCTAACTAGAAGTCTCAACTGAATTCTGACGAGAAACAATGACTAGAAACCATGACTAGAAGCCTGACAAGAATCCCTGACTAGAAGCCGTGATCAGAAGCCTTACTACAAACCATGACTAGAAGCCCTGACAAGAATCCTGATTAGAAGCCTGATAAGAAGCCCTGACTAGAAGCCTTACTACAAGCCCTGACTAGAAGCCCTGACAAGAATCCTGATTAGAAGCCCTGACTAGAAGCCTGACAAGAAGCCGTGACTAGAAGCCTTACTTCGAGCCCTGACTAGAAGCCCTGACAAGAATCCTGATCAGAAGCCTGACTAGAAGTCTCAGCTGAATTCTGACGAGTAACCCTAGCTAGAACCCTTGACTTCAAGCCGTGACTAGAAGCCGTGACTAGAAGTCTGACAAGAATCATTGATCTGAAGAGGTGAACCTATCATACAATCCTTTAAGATGCTTTGGTTTTATGGATAAACATTTTTTTTTATGGACGCAAGACGAGTGTTTTTCAAAATTAGTTGGAATGCGAATTCAATCTTTAATATGCGAAAAAGATTAGAACATATGGCGTTTACAAGTACTCTGCCATGAACGATGATGTCGGTGCTTGCAGGGGCGGTCGGGTAGCCTAGTGGTTCAATGCCCGACATGGGTACAATGTGTGAAGCCCATTTCTGGAGTCCCCCACGGCGACATTGTTGGAATATTGCTAAAAGCGGCGAAAAACCGAGCTCTCTCACTCACTCACATGTCACCGACTTGTAATAATTCGCGAAGTGAATTAGTCTCTTTACATAACAAAAACCTGCCGCGGCGCAAACACAGCCATGAACCAGTCTATATTCCAAGGCCTTCGTTGCTTTGCCTCGGTCTCGGCAGGATCCACGGCATCGAGATTGGGGACAGATGGGTTCACACAAAACTAGGACATCTAGACTAGGACATGTATAAATAATGTGACTGACAGTCATACCTTCACTAATGGTGGACAAAGCTACACTTGTAGCCATAATCAATATGTAATATATGCTTAGTGGCAGCATACAATACATATCATCATATAGGGAATACGCCAATAGTCAGGCTGGAATTTAAGCACCTTCTATTAGAGCTAAACAATCTTGATAAACTCGTGGCACTGCATGGAGTCATCCCGTCCTGTTAGTAGGGGACAGAATTAAAACAACTTACTTATGCTGAGGTCGACCATTTTCGCCCCATAGAAACCGTTATGTTATGGTATTGTTATTTTGTGTGTGTGTGTGTGTGTGTGTGTGTGTGTGTGTGTGTGTGAGTGCGTGCGTGTGTTGGGGGGGGGGGGGGGGGGAGTCGATTGGAAACTTCTGCTACAGCTGCAAAACCAGGGGAAGGCAAACCAGTTGCGGAAGGACGATCCACACCCTTGTGGTACCTGCAGCTGACCGTGCGATCTTCATTGGAGTCAGGTCTTGAGCATGAGGTACAGGGAAACCAATTCTGGCCTGTATATCCCCGACCCGGTACCGATGTTTGCTTTGAGGGAAAGCATAGCTTTTTTTATGCCGGTTTAGTAGTATTTTAGTAGTATCACAGCGGATGACACCAGATTTGGACTTTGCACAATGTACCGTGGCTGCAATCAAACCCGGACCTTAGGCGTGACGGGCGAACGATTTAACCATTAGGCAACCTCACGGCAAACTTGGTTTGAAAATAAAAGACTAAAGTTGTCTGTTGTATTTCTGTATGATAATAAAAAGGGTTTAATTAGGTTTTAGTGACTGTTGCGGTGCATTTCAACTGTTATTTTATTAGAGAAACATACTTCTTTGGTTAAGTTTTTCTCATCGCAAGTGGGGGCACGGGTGGCCCAGTCGTCTAAAGCGCCGCCATTCGCTGTGCAGAGTTGCGTCCCTTGGGCCAGAAACCTATGATTGTGAATTCAAATCCCGGGTCGCCCCAATTGTGTTTCTAGGTTTGTCAGCACCATACCCGTGCTCGTGAGTTTCACCGAAGTGGTAAACGTGTGAGACCTGCATCACTTCGGGCTTTCCTCCCACATCAAGCTGACACGCCGCGATATAACTGGAATACTGTTAAATCCAACTCACTCACTCACTCACTCACTCTCAAGTGACGTAATTTTGTTGCAGAAATAAGCTTTGAACATATTGTCTGCAACACTAAAAAAAGCTAGTTGTATGGCCTTTATAATCAGAAAAAAGTTAATTTGATTTGAAACCAATAATTGATTAATCAGGATCGAGTATTTTCGAAAGTCATGGCAGAATGAAAAGAAATATGAGAAACTTGGTGGATGTGTATGGTTTTGGGTTAAAATCAGCACCTACTGTGGGAATTCCAAGTAAGAGGAACCAAAAAGATGTGGTGGTCATCTTCGGTGCCTTGGTTCGTTGCGTGGCATCGTTCCCCGACGGCGTGCATCGTTGCTCAC